GCTCTGGAGATAAACCATAACTTTCCTTCTCTCCTGAGCGCTCTTAGAAAATACAAATGCATACATCGGCCGCAGGGTTCACAGAAGTTGAAGAAAGTTTAAGTCCAGGAAGCTATAGTTCACCACGAGGTGCGAGAAACTCTGTGACAGGAGTCTATCTCATGTTCCTTTGGCTCAAAGCATCAAACGGTTTGTTGGAGGTTTGTTGTGAAGGTGTCCATCTCCAACACACATACTTAAGAAACACACACAAACACACACATATGCTCAAGAAACACACACACGCTCAAGAAACACACACACACATACACATACATATGCTCAAGAAACACAGACATACTTAAGCAACACACACACACACACACTGGAGCAGGTGTGCGCCGCTGAGTCTGCAGACAGATATAATGAGAGGATGGAGTTTCCTCAGACTTTGATAAACGCCACGTTCTGTGATTAAACCAATAAACTGTAGATTGGTTCATATCTATTTAATAATAATAATAATAATAACAGTAACATGTGTCAGATAATAATGATAATAATAATAATAACAGTAACATGTGTCAGATTAGAATATCCAGAGAGTGGTGATAGAGACTTGGCTCAGTGAGTTGTTCTAAGAATGTATATTTTGTTACACATCAGGCTTTTATCTGCTATGTTTGCTTTATTGTGTAATTTGAAGATTTAACGCTCAGTATAAAGTAGATAATTATTTATTACAATATGTTTCTGTGCTTAAAGGGAATTTTAGTTACTTCTCAAATTGTGGAGAGTGACGGAATAAGTTAGACCCGCCCCCTGCTCACCCTCACAGCTTCCTGATTGGTCAAAATGTATATTCAAATCTTTGCCATTGGTCGAACTATTCTCCTCCCGAAAATCTTACTGGTTCTGATTTTATTAAAATAATTGACTATTTAAAATACATTACTTTTGAAAAATACTTAGATTACATCATAGCCCAGGGTCATATTGTCAAAAAATATACATTCTCTTAAAAATGAAATATAATCATAGACTGTATATAGACGGAATGAAGCCCAAGTTTTTCCTCTACTTGCTCTGGCTCCTACTGACTTACGCTCTCTGTGAACCTGGTGAATATAATGTCTTTGTTAATCAAGATTTGAGCCTTTATAAAGTACCTTCATTCGCTCTTGAGCAATCTCCAGCCCTAGCAACCATCTTAGCAACCAGCCTGCCCCTGTTACTGCATGAAGCCATAACGCCGTCGTAACACATGCCCATATAAGGAAATTTGCTCCAGCTAGCTTATGTTCAATCAATCCACTCCTTTTGTTCAACCTATGAATATTGTATAAGTTGTAGACATCACCTTTAAGTCCTTTTAAAACATGAATGTCCTTTTCTTTTGAGATTCCGCTTGATTTATCAGACGATTTTCAACCCTAACCTTCTGAACTTATTAAATTGTTTAATGTCAATAATGATTCACAGATGCCAGAGATTCTAGGAGCAGTGTTTTTAGGTAGAGGATACTGGAAAGACACTTCTGGGTTTAATTAACGAACTGGGAGCAAAAAGTTTAAATAAACATAATGAAACGCTACACTCTTTACAGTGTTCCATTCACTCTGAACATTTCCCCCGATTCCCCGCTCTGGCGACAGGCTGCAGCAAGGTTGGAATTGCTGCCATATTTTATTGGTCATAGCCTCTGCAGGGGTCTTTACACAGCCACGTCCCTTCTCCACACGCACACAAGCGTTTGAGCCAGCGTGAAAAAGAATTATACCTCCCATAGACCAGCGGCAGCCTGTGGAGAGAGGGGGAGAAGAGAGACGCTCTGAGGCGGAGCTAGTTTTAAGCCAGTGCACCCTGATTCAGCAAATTCACTGCCAGATTTCTCACATACTGTAGTACAAGCTGTTCTATACGAGAGCCGCGAGTGAGAGACAGAGAAAGAAATGCTTTTTGTGATTGAATTGTTTTTTGTTGTTTGGAGTGCTCTGTCTTTATACTGATTTTGTTGCTTTGTGACCAGTAAAAATATACAGCTATGATCGTGTACTGTAGTACCATAACATTGGCATTAATCTGACACTATAACAGCGGTACCAGCTTCTCCTCTCCCTTGTCCTGGACGCCACATGGTAAATGGTCCATTTCTAAGGTGCTTTTCTTCCTTTTCAAGGCACTTTAAGCGCTTCACAGTCAGGAACCAATCACCCACATACAATATAAGGTACCAGGGTGAGGTAGGTTAAGTGTCTTGCCCAAGGACACACACATAAAGCAGCAATCACCTATGGGAGCTGGTTGAGCGATCTGATTGCTCAATAATTAGGTCAGGAGCAGGACTCTACTCAGTTCCTGCTGCACATATGGCCTCTTTGAGTGGAGCGTGGCTATTTTCTTTCCTGTATCAGCATAGGTTTCCTCCAGGTCCTCCGATTTCCCCGTTTACTGTATGTAGATGAACATTGCTCAATGAAACCCTAGTACTTCAGTCACTTGCACATTTATACACACCGTTACAGAGCAGTGACTTTACAGCAGAGAGAAAGACAGAAAAGGTCCTGCCCTTTTTTAGTGTCGTATTTACTTTAGAATCAAGGTCAATGCATTAAAGTGTTTTCAATTCTTGCAGTATTTCCGTATATACTGCGCATTACAACTCTATTTACAACCTACATTTATCATTTCCCATCGCTCTACAGCTCTGTTTGCCAATTTAGATATTGTTTTTAAGAGCAAAACGTGCATAAATCGTGTGGTATGTGACCCTGTGGCATTTGAATGTGGTTCACTTGACCCTGGAGTGGAGGATGTGCAGACTGCGACCTGGACTCAGCAGTGATGGTATCTCTGTATCTCCGTCTGATCAAATCCTTTTATGTGAGAGACGCTCTGCCCTTTCCTCTGTTCCCTCTGAGGACCTCCACCTTCAACACTGCCCTCTCAGAGCCACAGATCCTGCAGATACAGAGCCATCGCTGCACACTGTACTCTAGGGCTCAGCTGGAAATAGTCATAAGTTTGATTTAACTTTAAATGATTTCATGTTGTTCTCTGGACTATGCTCAAAGATCTTTCTATTGGCTGAAATGAATGAATGAATAAATAATATCGTGATTAGTTGCAGGTGATTTCCAATATGTGTCTTTTAGTGTGAGTCCTGTTGCCTGTGTTTGGTATGAGGAGATTCTTTTCTTTGGCTTCTGCAGTTTCTCTCCTAAAACACAAGATTGAATTGGACTAAATTTGACCTGTTTTGAAAGGTTTCTCAGCTGTGAAATTTGTTGTTGGCAAAATACATACAAACACATACTGTATATAATGGCTAATTGTAAAAGTAAAATGCTAATCCTCATGAATGATAATGTTTCCCAGCTCAAAGTAGGGTGCAAAAAACAAAAACATATTTCTCTAAACTTTACATATATTTACAGATACAATATAGGTTCTTCCTACTTTTGCAATATCTCCTCCATGTTATATATTTGGACTTCACTAACTTCTTTATTAAATGAACTGTAAATGCATCAATAAAATGAGGGCTTGAGTAATTGTTAATAATAGTCTTAAACATATTCCGGATTGGGTTCATATCCCTCCCTCTCCGTCTCCTCCTTCCATGTTTCTCGGGTGGATTTGGACTAAACCCCAGTGGTCTAAGCTGATTAGAAGCCTGTTATACACTGGCCATTTGAAATCACTGGAAAGACACACACACACACACACACACACACACACACACACACACACACACACACACACACACACACACACACACACACACACACACACACACACACACACATACACATACACATACACATACACATACACATACACATACACACACACACACACAGCCAAATCAGTCTTCGCCAAAATGAACAGCGACTGCCCCTATAGACGGGCACGGTTTGGCACGGGCAATAGCAGAGAGACCAACGTACGGCCACGCCAAAGACACCGCTTTAAACTTCGAAAAGTTCCACAGAAAACTGAATTGTAAACTGTGTCGAGCTGCCCGTGATCCCGATTCAATTCAATTCAATTCAGGGTGTTTTTGTGCAGCCCAAAATCACAACATCAGAGAATCCAACAGTTCAAACACAATAAATGTAATGATAAAACACACACAGAGCCAGTGGTCCATAAGGGACAGAGACCAATGTCTGTAAATAAATAATGCTCAAAGATACATTACAAAACGTGCTAATTATGAGAGATTCTTGTGTGCCACTAAACAATGTTATGAATCTAAGGAGGTAAGGACGATCTGTTTACCTTTAAGCGGCATTATTATCGCCTCCAGTGTATCTTGTTGATTTTCTGAGACATAAGCACATGGCAAAGGAGATGTATATTCTCTAATATGGATTCTATGGATGTTGAATTCCTTCCCATTTGTCATGTCGTGTCATTTTCTACCCCTTTATTATTCCACTTCTGGGTTGGGGGGGGGGGGGGGGGTCTCATAGCACCAGTCCCTCGCTGGGCCCACGGGAAGACGGCTTCTCTGGACTGTATAAAGATTGACAATGTTAGCCTGCTTGCTCAATGAAGCCCTGAGCTCTCTATGATCCTGATGTTGTTCTGATAGTCTTTATGAATTCAGATATGAGCCACATGAGGATTAACCAATCAGATGCCTTCATTCGTGAGGGAAACTCCAGTTTGCCTTAGCAACTGTCTTAGCAACACGTCTGCCCCCGTTACGAATTGATCAAAAGAATAATCTCTAGAAACTACATCATAGCATTCTTACAATAATAATAATAATAATAATACTTTAAAAAAAAAAATAAGAAGAAGAAGAATACAGCTTTATATGTTTAGCAATTTCCTGAAAAATATGTGCGGCAGAGTCAGCCTAAAACAATATAAGACAATACGAACAGAAATTATAAGAAAAGAATTCAGCATATTACACACACACACATCACTAAAGCCCACGATTCTCACAGTATAACACCTTTTCCAGGTTGTATTGCAAACACGAGCGGCCCCTGATTCACTGGTGCATGTGTGCGTCCACCTGGTCCCACCTCACACCATCTGCAGCTCTGTCTGTGGATCCCTGCCATGACCCCACTGTCCCCGGACCATCTGTGCCCAGGAGGGAGATCCAGGCACCGCAAACCAAACGCACCCACCCAAACTCAACAGGAGGGACGGTATTAAAGCCTGGTCACCCGCTGTTTCTGTCTCTGTGTGTGTGCGCCCGTTGTTATCACACTGTGGGGACGGAGGAGGACCGTATGTGGCTGGAGAAAATCAACACAAGACAGTCCACAGAATGAACAAACCACAGAAATTTGTCGTATTGGGAAAAATGGCAGATGTTTTAAGCAGACATGGAAAATCTACGATAACTACTAGCTTACTACTATAGCAGCAGTTCAGTAAGTATGTGCAAGACTCTGAAATCTGAAAACAATTTGGTTTAATGTAACCATAGGCCGTGTAACCATAGAGTGAACTGACAAAGTGTGGAAGAAGCCGATTTTAACATAACGCAATTTTTCTAAGGACAAAATTAGGAGCCAGAATGAGTTGGAGCAAAACTCTGATTACTTCCTTGTTGGGATTCTTGAGTTAGCGAGTTAGCATTGTCCATCTACATTCAGTCTTTGGATGTAACTGATGGAGTCATTGCTTAAAAACGTTGGTTATGTAATGTTCTGTGTCACCTGGAGTAAGCGATTAAGCAGCTAACCTCAGTAAACTGAATAATACATTGTCCTCGGGCTGAGGGAATAGACATTGTTGCTATTGACGGTTTTTGGAGGACTCTGCGCTTTGGGGCCATTGTGTGAAAATGGTTGTTTTAGATGCATGGGACGCAGACTGTCTTTTGTGCATTCTAGATCACTACCTTTATGAACAGGGCCTCAGTGTGCAGGAAATGAGTGCAAAGTTAGAGTGATGTCCCCACAAAGCCTAGAAGCCCTGTGTGTGTGTGTGTGTGTGTGTGTGTGTGTGTGTGTGTGTGTGTGTGTGTGTGTGTGTGTGTGTGTGTGTGTGTGTGTGTGTGTGTGTGTGTGTGTGTGTGTGTGTGTGTGTGTGTGTGTGTGTGTGTGTGTGTGTGTGTGTGTGTGTGTGTGGTCTTTATGGAGAAACCCAGTGGGATAATCTAAACGACAGCCTCATCAGACATGCAGCGCGGTGTGAGGACCACTTGTCTTCCTGCCTCTCCGCGTCACACACATGTCCTGCATCTTTAATTGCTTCAGCTTCATCATGCAAATGGCTCTGACTGTGAATGTGTGTGTCTGTGTGTGTGCGTATGTGTGTGTGTGTGCGTAGTAAGGATGGCCGGGAGGGGAGTGGGTCCATGTACATGTATAAATTCTGCATGATTGACATACAGTACATGAAATGAGTAAAAGTTCTTTACAAAGGACTAAACCACTGGATATTTGTATTTTACATTCATTTTGTAGTTTTATCTTTTTCTTCACATGTTTTATACTGTTGTTGTGTAGTACTTTAGTCACATTAAAAATAAAATAAATGTTATAACACTTAGTTGCTTATTAATGATTTTTTTTTTTTTATTCAAAATATCGGTCCATTAAGAACACATTCTCATATCGATCACAATCTGAAGGTGATCCAACACAGAGAACACACATCGTACAAACTGAAACTCATTCATAAAAACATACAAATATAAAACTCATAAAAGCCAATTACAAAATAAAACTTGTATAAGACTTATTCCTTTGCTCTTGAAAAGTTTTTTACGTGCTGCATTGTGGAACCCTCTTTTTGCTGCAGTCACAGGAGCACATCTAGAGACTGAAAGTTTTGCCCTATTTGCTATACAATACAAGCATCTTCGTTTGTAGATAGATTATCAATTAGATTTAGGTCTGGATTTGACTTCTAGGGTTAGGGTATTCTAGATTGAGATTAAGGGTGAATTCAGACCTGAAAAGCGCTTTGCTCCGCTTGCTTGATCCGAATCAAAAGCGGACCAAACTTTTTTCTTTTGCTCCGGTTCGTATTCAGACTGTCCTTTTTGCAAGTGAACTTTTTTATATAAACATAATGACACGTGTGACGATCGGCTCCTATTGGACAGCGAGAGCTCACGGAGGATAGACGCGGAACCAGAGGAAAACATTGAGGGCTCGTATGTGCAGCATGTCTGCTCTGCCTATGTTTGCTCTTTTTAGAGCAAAACCACCTTCAACATCAACAGCAGCTCATATGACGCAGGCGAAACACGTTGTTTTAAATATTGGAACAGCGTCGGAGAATGCGTGAGGAGAAAGCCGAAGGAGACTGTCTGTGCGCTCCGTGTCCTGTCCCACACATGGATCTATTATAATAACGGCCCTGTTCAGCATTGTGGATAAACCATGGATCTATAATAACCACGGGACAAACAGACGCTGAGGATCAGGTATGAACCAAAGAACACAATTCACTACATGATGCGGGACATTGCTCTTTGAGACGTGAGTCAAACAGTGTCAGGCTTTTAATAATGCAAATGGTTTGAAGATGCTGCCATTAACATCAATGTATACTGTGAACAGTTTTAACTCCATAAGCCTGTTGCACAGCGTCTCCTCGCTGCTCCAGGTCTGCACACGGCTCAGTGTTGTTGTGTAGCGTTAGCAGCATAGTTAGCAGCATAGTTAGCATCATAGTTAGCAGCATAGTTAGCATCATAGTTAGCAGCATAGTTAGCATCATAGTTAGCAGCATAGTTAGCCACATAGTTAGCAGCATAGTTAGCAGCATAGTTAGCAGCATAGTTAGCAGCATAGTTAGCCACATAGTTAGCAGCATAGTTAGCAGCATAGTTAGCAGCATAGTTAGCAGCATAGTTAGCAGCATAGTTAGCAGCATAGTTAGCAGCATAGTTAGCAGCATAGTTAGCAGCATAGTTAGCAGCATAGTTAGCAGCATAGTTAGCATCATAGTTAGCAGCATAGTTAGCAGCATAGTTAGCAGCATAGTTAGCATCATAGTTAGCAGCATAGTTAGCATCATAGTTAGCAGCATAGTTAGCAGCATAGTTAGCAGCATAGTTAGCAGCATAGTTAGCAGCATAGTTAGCAGCATAGTTAGCAGCATAGTTAGCAGCATAGTTAGCAGCATAGTTAGCAGCATAGTTAGCAGCATAGTTAGCATCATAGTTAGCAGCATAGTTAGCAGCATAGTTAGCAGCATAGTTAGCAGCATAGTTAGCATCATAGTTAGCAGCATAGTTAGCAGCATAGTTAGCATCATAGTTAGCAGCATAGTTAGCATCATAGTTAGCAGCATAGTTAGCAGCATAGTTAGCAGCATAGTTAGCATCATAGTTAGCAGCATAGTTAGCAGCATAGTTAGCAGCATAGTTAGCAGCATAGTTAGCAGCATAGTTAGCAGCATAGTTAGCCACATAGTTAGCAGCATAGTTAGCAGCATAGTTAGCATCATAGTTAGCAGCATAGTTAGCAGCATAGTTAGCAGCATAGTTAGCATCATAGTTAGCAGCATAGTTAGCAGCATAGTTAGCATCATAGTTAGCAGCATAGTTAGCAGCATAGTTAGCCACATAGTTAGCAGCATAGTTAGCAGCATAGTTAGCATCATAGTTAGCAGCATAGTTAGCAGCATAGTTAGCAGCATAGTTAGCAGCATAGTTAGCAGCATAGTTAGCAGCATAGTTAGCAGCATAGTTAGCATCATAGTTAGCAGCATAGTTAGCAGCATAGTTAGCATCATAGTTAGCAGCATAGTTAGCATCATAGTTAGCAGCATAGTTAGCAGCATAGTTAGCAGCATAGTTAGCAGCATAGTTAGCAGCATAGTTAGCAGCATAGTTAGCAGCATAGTTAGCATCATAGTTAGCAGCATAGTTAGCAGCATAGTTAGCATCATAGTTAGCAGCATAGTTAGCAGCATAGTTAGCAGCATAGTTAGCATCATAGTTAGCAGCATAGTTAGCAGCATAGTTAGCATCATAGTTAGCAGCATAGTTAGCATCATAGTTAGCAGCATAGTTAGCAGCATAGTTAGCAGCATAGTTAGCATCATAGTTAGCAGCATAGTTAGCAGCATAGTTAGCAGCATAGTTAGCAGCATAGTTAGCAGCATAGTTAGCAGCATAGTTAGCCACATAGTTAGCAGCATAGTTAGCAGCATAGTTAGCATCATAGTTAGCAGCATAGTTAGCAGCATAGTTAGCAGCATAGTTAGCAGCATAGTTAGCATCATAGTTAGCAGCATAGTTAGCAGCATAGTTAGCATCATAGTTAGCAGCATAGTTAGCAGCATAGTTAGCCACATAGTTAGCAGCATAGTTAGCATCATAGTTAGCAGCATAGTTAGCAGCATAGTTAGCAGCATAGTTAGCAGCATAGTTAGCAGCATAGTTAGCAGCATAGTTAGCAGCATAGTTAGCATCATAGTTAGCAGCATAGTTAGCAGCATAGTTAGCATCATAGTTAGCAGCATAGTTAGCATCATAGTTAGCAGCATAGTTAGCAGCATAGTTAGCAGCATAGTTAGCAGCATAGTTAGCAGCATAGTTAGCAGCATAGTTAGCAGCATAGTTAGCATCATAGTTAGCAGCATAGTTAGCAGCATAGTTAGCATCATAGTTAGCAGCATAGTTAGCAGCATAGTTAGCAGCATAGTTAGCAGCATAGTTAGCAGCATAGTTAGCAGCATAGTTAGCAGCATAGTTAGCAGCATAGTTAGCCACATAGTTAGCAGCATAGTTAGCAGCATAGTTAGCATCATAGTTAGCAGCATAGTTAGCAGCATAGTTAGCAGCATAGTTAGCAGCATAGTTAGCAGCATAGTTAGCAGCATAGTTGGCCGCTGCGTGGCTAATTCCTCAGTTTCTGTCTGCGGTGCTTGTTAAGCCCAAAAAATGCGCACGTATCTTGGAGTTGTGTCGGATCGACACCGGATGTATTCAGACCTGATTCGACTTGGACCAGAATTCGTTTGGAAGCGGACGAGACCACCTAAAAAAGTGGGTCTCGGTTCGGTTCTTTGGTCCGGACTAGGATTCGTTTGTGTGTATTCAGACCTGCATAAAAGCTTCGGATCAGAGTTCCAAACGAATCCTGGTTCGTTTAAAGTGGAGCAAATGTGCAGGTCTGAATACACCCTAAGAGATCCTATACTCGTTCTACAGTGGAGAAATTTCAGTGTTGCATCCCAGGTTAAAGACCAGTAAGAATGTAAGCTTGTGACGCACACTGTTTAACGCTGTATATGAAGATTTCAGATGCAAAAACAGATATCTCCGTTTTCAAATGTTGTCCAAATATTGTATTCCTAGTTAAAATCCTCAACATGTTCTGTTAAGGGCAACACACTTGAAGGAATTTGCGCAAGACGGGGTGAATCTTTATCTGTATGGCACGAAAATAGATCTGGCTTTTCACAAAACTTCTAAAACTATAACTACTAAAACTACAAAACAAACTAACGAAAGCTTTTCCATGACACGTATCTGTTTTTGCATAAACTATTCATCAAAAGCACAGCATATCACTAATACTCCATTTTTTCTCACCAGCTCTGACCTTGATAAGAATAATGAATGCGTGTACGTACAGCATCCGCCCCTCCCCCCCTCCCCCCCCCCCCCCCCCCCCCCCCCCCCCCCCTCCTCCTCCCCCCTCCTCCCCCCTCCTCCCCCCTCCTCCCCCCTGTCTCACTGTGTTAGTGGAGCAGTTGTAGAACCGAGAGGAGCTGGTTAACTTTTGATAAGCTCGTTTCATTATGCATAAATGCCCAGCCCCCTCTGACACCGCACCGAGAATCAGGGCTTTTTCACTTTTTTTCATCGCAGGTCTTGATATGTCAGGCTCGTTCTCTCGAAAGAGTAAGTGCCAAGAGGCGTTACCTTCAACAAATGGCCTTTTCACTTTCTACTTGTTGTATGTAGGCTCTGTAAGTCCTGCGCAGAGGTTTGCAGTGTAGCGTGTCCACCTTAAATCTCTGATAGAACATATTTTATTTTATTTTATTAAACGCTTGAGCGCCGTATTTTCAAACCACAACAGTTGAATTATGGTACTTACTAGAATATTAAGCGCACCTCTATACAAACAGCACCAGCTACATTTTAAGAGAAATTAAATGCTGTCCACGTCATCATCAAAACACAGCTTTTGTCTCAGAAAGCTTCCTCCGCAGAGTGGCTTGGGATATAGGGGGAGGAGCTCGGGGTAGAGCCGCTGCTTCTCTACGTCGAGAGGAGGTACTTGAGGTTGCTCGGGCATCTGTTTGGGATGGCTCTCTGTGTATGCGTATGACCCAGCGGGAGGAGACCAGAGGACGACCCAGGACACGCTGGAGGGACTGTGTCTCTCAGCTGGCCTGGGAACACCTCAGGATTCCCCCAGATGAGCTGGAGGAGGTGCGTGTGGAGAGGCAAGTCTGGCTGTCTCTGGTTAGACAGCTCCCCGTGACCCGACAGATAAAGCAGAAGAATTTGGACTGATGGATATTTTCTGAGGGGCGACAGTAGCTCAGTTGGTAGAGCATTGGCCTTCAGGCCTGAAGGTTGTGGGTTCAATTCCCACCTCTACACCTTCTCCACCGACTCCCACTGATGACCGCTGTCGTTGTGTCCTTGGGCAAGACACTTAACCCCACTTTGCCCAAAGCCCCCACTGAAAGATCAAGGCTATGCTCACACTCAGAGAGCAGCCGTCCTCCTGTGGACTCACCACCTGCAGAGGGTCATTGAGGGGCTGGTGCTATGAGACTTGGGTGGCATCTCTGACTACCACCCCCCTGACCCAGAAATGGATTAAAGGGTAGAAAATGGATGGATGGATGGATATTTTCTGAAATGTTTAATTTTGTTTTGTGTTTTTATAGTAGTAATATGTAAGACTTTCATGTCAAGTCCTCCTTAAAGGGCCCTAATCTGTCAAAAGGCATTAATAAACCATGCTCTTTTCCAATACTTCTTTAACTGATAACTGTAGTTCAGAGATATTTGAATGTCTACATTAAGTTTTAGTGTAGATTAAGCCCCCAAATCTTGTCAGAAAGTCTGTTTGTCAGTTTATTTTTTCTTCGGCCAATATGTACACCAGATCTCAGGTCACATAGTTACAGAGATCACATATACTTTTTACAACAAGAAAAAATACATTAAAAAAACAATAGTAAAGAACCAAAATGTGTCCATTAAGACTCTTGTGCGAAACATTGCCTGACCGAAAGGGTTTAGGCTGAAGTCAAGACTTATACTGCCTAACCCCTACTACGATCCGGGTGGTCTGTAATCCCGGGTTGCCAGAACTCCACTGCGGACCCTCCTACCATGTGTCCGCAGAACTAAAAAAAGGTCTCGTTATGATTTCTATCTTTGTGAAAAAGGTGTAGGTTATAGACAAAACTCTTGTCTATTCAGTTATTATTATTACGGTCCCAGCTTGATTCCTCTGCATATCTGGCAACCTGAGCCAAGGAGAATGGGAGAGGCTGCAGTACCACTTTTGGCCAGATTTGTACAATTCACAATTAATAAAACACCACAGTGGTGTCAAAAGTGCTATCGATTACGGCATTCTTTTTTTTTACCAGTAACAAAATTGAGTTAGAAATGTTACCATGGCAACATCAGTCGGTAGAGAAGCGCTGAACGAGCACAATGAGGTGACAGTAGGCAGCAGTGGAGCTCCTGGTGCCGCGGGGATGAGGCTGACTGACTGCTGCTTTGTCCTGCGCTGACACGGGAGACTGCCCCCCCCCCCTACAGGAGCACCGTGACCCCCTCACCTTTAACCCCGGGCTCCTGGATCAGTGAGAGTCCCTTTGGTCCACTCTGTCCTGTGTCTTGTTCCTCTGTTTAGACTCGTACAGAGGTTTAGTGACTTGTGTGACGAGGCCCAGAGGTGCAAAGGGAGGAGAGATTATTGTGGAAGAAATGACCCTGAACGGGAGAACAGGTTATGAAAATAGAATCGGTGTTGGGTTTTTGTAACTTGTAAGAAGTGGTGATTTATAGCTCTTTCACAGACACAGTCATAAAGCAGTTTACACTTGTTTTTCAGACCACACAGTCAAGGAATCGGTCTAAAGCAGGACTAAAGCAGGACTAATGAAGGACTAAACCAGGTCTTAAGCAGAACTAAAGCAGGTCTAAAGCAGGACAAAAGCAAGTCTAAAACAAACCTATGGGAGGACTAATGCAGAACTAAAGCAGGACTAGAGCAGGTCTAAAGCAGGTCTAAAGCAGGACTAAAGCAGGTCTAAAGCAGGACTAAAGCAGGTCTAAAGCAGGACTAAAGCAGGTCTAAAGCAGGACAAAAGCAGGTCTAAAGCAAGACTAAAGCAGGTCTAAAACAGTACTAAAGCAGGTCTAAAGCAGGGCTAAAACAGTACTAAAGCAGGTCTAAAGCAGGTCTAAAGCAGGACTAAAGCAGGACTAAAGCAGGACAAAAGCAGGTCTAAAGCAGGTCTAAAGCAGGATTAAAGCAGGTCTAAAACAGTACTAAAGCTGGTCTAAAACAGTACTAAAGCAGGTCTAAAACAGTACTAAAGCAGGTCTAAAACAGTACTAAAGCAGGTCTAAAGCAGGACAAAAGCAGGTCTAGAGCAGGACTAAAGCAGGACTAAAGCAGGTCTGCAGCAGGACTAAGGAAGGACTAAAGCAGGACTAAGGAAGGACAAAAGCAGGTCTAGAGCAGGACTAAGGAAGGACTAAAGTTGTAAATTATTGTCATTAATGTGTATAACTGTAATGTATTCATCTGACAGATTCTGACTTCTCCTTCACACAGTGAGGGTGGATCAGTCTGTCACTGAAGCTGCCGTGGAAAATGTGGTTTCTACTGTTAATATACATGCTGGTAATATTACACATTTTCTGGATCCTACTGCACAAGTTGATGTGAACCTTAGCTAAATGTGGCTAAATGATTTCTGTTCTGGTCTGGTCAAGCAGTAATGATTGTAGATTCATAAATAAATGATGAAACCGTATCGCAAAGACTTAGCCTCGTCTAGAGTGAATATGGTGCACACTGTTGTAGTCTTGCACAGTTGTTCCAATGTGGTTTTACTGCAAATGGCAAATATTCTCTTGTATCTTGTATGACCAGCCGCCACATTTGAGACACCTGCCTCTCCCACCTCTGCCCTGAAACATACCTTTAAACAACACAACATTCAGCCTTACATAATGTTTTGTTCACTTTTCATAATAAAAACCCAATCCGTGTTTATACGCAGCAGCTGTTTCCGTTTGTAGGTAGTTAAACTTTATTGTCACTGTGGGAAAACTCGCTCTTCATTTGGCCCCTTCATTATCCGTAGTGTGTGTGGTGAGCCGGGCCCGGAGCAGCGCGGCCACAAAGCACCATCCGGGGACGTCTTCCGTGTTTTAGGCCAAAGATTTACAACCGGCCGATATGACACGCATGTACCGGCGTGTGAGTCTGACGGTGATCCACAAACCCACTCACACACAATAAGTGCTGAGGGATGTGATTTGGAGACTCAGACAGAGCCGTAATCACCAAACAATAAGACGGGAAATGAGTCGATGACTTGTTTTCAATGATAAAAAAGTCCTGCCCGGAAATATCATCTTTTAGTACGTTTGGGTTTTAAGCAACTATTCAATTAAGCCGAAGAATGTGTGTTAGTTACGGAATATTGTGAGAATATTAGAATATTGGAGAAGGATACAGCAGGTCTTAAAGAAGGATTAAAGACTGTCTTAAGAAGAACTAAAGCAGGACCATAAAAGGTCTAAAGCAGGGTCAGAGCTGGTCTGAAGCATTTCTAAAGTAGAACTAAAGCAGGTCCAAAGCAGGACTATGCTGCGTTCAGACCGGATGAAGCAGGACTAAAGCTGGATTAAAGCAGGTCTATAGCAGGACTTAAGCAGGACTTAAGCAGGTCTAAAGCAGGTCTAAAGCAGGTCTACAGCAGGACTAAAGCAGGACTAAAGCAGGACTAAAGCAGGACTAAAGCAGGACTAAAGCAGGTCTAAAGCAGGACTAAAGCAGGACTAAAGCAGGACTAAAGCAGGACTAAAGCAGGACTAAAGCAGGACTAAAGCAGGACTAAAGCAGGACTAAAGCAGGACTAAAGCAGGACTAAAGCAGGACAGGTCTAGGACAGGTCTAGGACAGGTCTAAAGCAGGTCTAGGACAGGTCTAGGACAGGTCTAGGACAGGTCTAAAGCAGGTCTAGGACAGGTCTAAAGCAGGTCTATAGCAGGTCTATAGCAGGTCTAGGGCAGGTCTATAGCAGGTCTATAGCAGGTCTATAGCAGGTCTATAGCAGGTCTATAGCAGGTCTATAGCAGGTCTATAGCAGGTCTATAGCAGGTCTATAGCAGGTCTATAGCAGGTCTATAGCAGGTCTAAAGCAGGTCTATAGCAGGTCTATAGCAGGTCTATAGCAGGTCTAAAGCAGGTCTATAGCAGGTCTAAAGCAGGACAACAGCAGATCTAAAGCAGATCTAAAGCAGATCTAAAGCAGGTCTATAGCAGGTCTAAAGCAGGACTACAGCAGGTCTAAAGCAGATCTAAAGCAGGTCTATAGCAGGTCTAAAGCAGGACTACAGCAGGTCTAAAGCAGATCTAAAGCAGGTCTATAGCAGGTCTAAAGCAGGTCAGAAAGTTTCCCGGGTTTGTGGACTGAGACACACCCCTGTCCACCTCCGTACAGTGACCCCGTCCTGTGGTCTTCACTGCGGCTCTCTGTGCCTGCATTAGCGAGGCATGTCTGGAACTAATAGATTCCACCCTGCTCAAGAATCTGATTTTAGACCAGGGCCTGTGTGGGTTCAACACGTGGAGCTTTAGGAGAAAGTCACTCCCTGCGCTGTCATTTTCAATCTGTACTTTGGCCATATCAGCTGATTGGGGTAAAGACATGTATGGTGGTTGCAAAATTGACTTGATTGTAAATTACATTATTATTATAATTATTTCTATTGATTTATCTGGTTTTATTTTGATATATATTTGTTATTTCTTGTTGTGAGTTTTACTTCCTGTCTGTCCTGTTGTTTGTAACCAAGCCCCGGTGATCCAAGATGGCGCCCTATGAATGGCTTGTGCTCAGTAGTGCATGGGACTTCATGGAGACCGGGAGATTAGCAGAACTCTCCTATATTTGGGCATCGTCTGGTCCTCCCGGTTCTGTGCAGTGGATTATCTCCCATGATGCCTTGCGCAACATACTCGTGTGTGGCTGTCATGCACGTGCACAGAGGGTCTCGGCTGCGTTCTGACCAATCAGAGCTGCTGATCAGGGCAGAGTCAGAGCGGAGTCAGAGCGGGAAGGAAAGGAGCAGAGTTTGTGGCAGTAAAGTGTGGATTTAAAGAAAACTGAAGGATTTAAGAAGAAAAAAAGTTCAGGATGACAAGGGACACTAAAATCCCCTCAAAATCCAATCTTTATGAAAGCTGTAGGTTCTCTGCCAGGTTCTGTGTGTATTACTAGCTTGGAGCTGAAGAACCCATGTGCTCGGGGGATTCTCGCGGTACTGCAGACTGAACCAGACTAAACCCACGTGGGCTACACAGAAATGCTCCCCATAGAACTCAATGTAAACTAAAACAGCTCGACCTCAGCTAACAGAGAACCTGACGGAGAACCTGACGGAGAACCTGACGGAGAACCTGACAGAGAACCTGACGGATAACCTGACAGAGAACCTGACGGAGAACCTGACAGAGAACCTGACGGATAACCTGACAGAGAACCTGACGGAGAACTTGACAGAGAACCTGACAGAGAACCTGACGGAGAACCTGACGGAGAACCTGACGGAGAACCTGACGGAGAACCTGACAGAGAACCTGACGGAGAACTTGACAGAGAACCTGACAGAGAACCTGACGGAGAACCTGACGGAGAACCTGACGGAGAACCTGACGGAGAACCTGACGGAGAACCTGACGGATAACCTGACAGAGAACCTGACGGAGAACCTGACAGAGAACCTGACGGAGAACCTGACAGAGAACCTGACGGATAACCTGACAGAGAACCTGACGGAGAACTTGACAGAGAACCTGACAGAGAACCTGACAGAGAACCTGACAGAGAACCTGACAGAGAACCTGACAGAGAACCTGACAGAGAACCTGACAGAGAACCTGACAGAGAACCTGACAGAGAACCTGACGGAGAACTTGACGGAGAACTTGACAGAGAACCTGACGGATAACCTGACAGAGAACCTGACGGAGAACTTGACAGAGAACCTGACAGAGAACCTGACAGAGAACCTGACAGAGAACCTGACAGAGAACCTGACGGAGAACTTGACGGAGAACCTGACAGAGAACCTGACGGAGAACCTGACAGAGAACCTGACAGAGAACCTGACAGAGAACCTGACGGAGAACCTGACAGAGAACCTGACGGAGAACCTGACGGAGAACCTGACAGAGAACCTGACAGAGAACCTGACGGAGAACCTGACGGAGAACCTGACGGAGAACCTGACGGAGAACCTACAGCTTTCATAATGGTCGGATTTTGTGGGATTTAGTGTCCCTTGTCAACTTTTTGTCTTCACAATCGTTGCTGAGCACAAGCCATTCATTAGAATAGGGCGCCATCTTGGATCACTGAGGTTAATCCAGACCCTCTTCTCCTGTCCTCTTGTTGCTGGTCCATTGTTGTCTTGTTCCTTGTGTTTTTACTTATGGATTAATTTTTTGTGGCATTTATTCAATTATATTATTTTTTGAAGTTCTCCTTTTGGGTCCTGATCATAATGAGCGTGACCAACATCAGTACAGCAGTCTGCCGTAAATATGTATGTTTATTAATTATTTTCTTTGTGATGTCTTTTGTATCTGGACGTCGTGTCTGTAATAAAGTTTACACACATATAAACTTCATTATGTCTCCTCACGTTAAGACTAAAGGTTTTTACAATAAGACAAAAGTGTTTTTGATTAAGGTATGCCTGCAGTACTAGCTTATTTACACTTTTGTTTTTCTATAAGAACCTTCTAAGCCTTAGTTAATAGTTAATACACATGATGATATGAATTATGAATACATGTGTTTGCTGCAGCCCTCCTCACTCATCACAAACTGCAGCTTAAATGATGAAAACTATTGTAACATTCTCCTTTCAGGCCATTAGCTCAACACCTTCCCCACTCTTTCTCCTTCTCTGTTAAACACTCGTCTCTCCGCACACCTCCATCCGGTCTTCTGTCCTCTTTCCGGCCCTTGTTGTATTTGACCCTGTGCTGAGGGCCCGGGCCCCTCTTCCCCTCGCTCTGCGTCTGCTTCCTGTGTGGAGCTGCTCAAAAGGCCGTTTTTATCCTGCGCTGACGTAACTCTATCACACAAGCTCACACTTCTCCTCTGAACAATCGTGTGAGATCACAGGGCCGGAGTATCGGGCCCCGGGACAGACACAGTGGTGCACAGAGCGGCTTGTGTGTCTCATTGTGTTGATTTTTTTTTGTTGCTTTTTAGGCAAGGCAAGGCAAGGCAAGTTTATTTATATAGCACAATTCATACACAAGGCAATTCAAAGTGCTGAACAAAACAAGAAAGCATTAAAATCATAAATAATCACAGAACATGATTACGGGCGGCACGGTGGCTGAGTGGATAGCACTCTTGCCTCTCAGCAAGAAGGTCCTGGGTTCGAATCCCGGTCGGACCAGGGCCTTTCTGAGTGGAGTTTGCATGTTCTCCCCGTGTCTGCGTAGGTTTCCTCCGGGTACTCCGGTTTCCCCTACCACTAAAAATATGTACAATAGGTCTGGCATGCGCCTCCTGTACTGGTGACCCCGCTCCCATCTCTGTGTGGAGTGAGAGACAAATGCCCAAAATTAACAATTGTAAACCGCTTTGAGACTCACACTGTAAACCCTGACAAGTAAAGTTTACTTGAAAAAACCATGGAAATAAATTGCGTATTAACTTCACTTGAATTACTCGAGTACATCCTTTACTTGATATTACCAAGTAACTCAAGTGATTGCAATAAAGTTTAAATTTCTTCTTATGCTCGACCGGGATTCGTACTCAGAACCCTGTAGTTGAGAGGCAATGGTGCTACCCACTCAGCCACCAGGACACCCTGCCATTAACACACCTGCCTCATTAAAGACTCTACACATCAAAATGTCAAAAGTGAGGCTTACTTGAACAGAAACAGTTGAATTCAAAGAAACCCCTGAGTGATATAGCCAAGCTTTAAATAAACTAACAATAAATGAGTAATATTTACTTACTGGGAAAAATCTATTTAAAATAACTTTGATATCTGAAGTACAATTCAAGTTAGGGTTTACAGTGCAGATCTGCAGTGAAAAGGCGGTATATAAATAAAACTTACTTACTTACTAACATTAAAAAGGAAGATAAAAATATAAAATCCCTCAGTTGTATGCACAGCTAAACAGAACTGTCTTTAACTTGGTTTTAAACATTGTCAGAGAGGAGGCCTCTCTCACGTCTTCAGGAAGACTGTTCCAGATTTTAGCAGCATGAATCTGAAAAGCAGCCTCCCCATGTTTTTTAAAACACTTCACAATGACCCTTTTTCTTAGTGATCCTCAGTAAATGTTTATAGTAGAAAAATGTAGGTCATGCTGAGTTCCAACGGGAAATCTATCAAATCAATGACAATTAGTGAATGGGAAAAGCAACGGTTTTTTTCATGTTGATTTCTTGTTGTGGGCCATAGTTTTTCATAGTTTGACATTAGCTGGAAACCATTTTTGGCTTTTGTTCTGATAGCGCTTGCTTTGCTTCGTGTTGCCAAGACGGTTGCTAAGGCTAGCTAGAGTTTCTCTCCCACGAATAAAGGCATCTCATTGGTCAATACTTATATGGCTTATGTAGCCATAGTCTTCTGCATTTGACTAAAACAGGACTAAAGCAGGACTAAAGCAGGACTAAAGCAGGACTAAAGCAGGACTAAAGCAGGTCTAAAACAGGGCCTTAAGCAGGTCTTAAGCAGGTCTTAAGCAGGACTAAAGCGGGACTAAAGCAGGACTAAAGCAGGACTAAAGCAGGACTAAAGCAGGACTAAAGCAGGACTAAAGCAGGACTAAAGCAGGACTAAAGCAGGGACTAAAGCAGGACTAAAGCAGGGACTAAAGCAGGGACTAAAGCAGGGACTAAAGCAGGGACTAAAGCAGGGACTAAAGCAGGGACTAAAGCAGGGACTAAAGCGAGACTAAAGCGAGACTAAAGCGGGACTAAAGCGGGACTAAAGCGGGACTAAAGCGGGACTAAAGCAGGACTAAAGCGGGACTAAAGCGGGACTAAAGCGGGGACGGAAGCTGGACTAAATCAGGACTGAAGCAGGACTTATGGTGCTTTCTGACCGCCAACGCTGAAGCCCCGCTCACCAGACGTGCATTCTCTTGTTTTCATACGCACGGGTCTTCACACCAGAACGTCCTGGCCAGCGCCGGAAGTACCGGAAGGAGCCGGCCGGCTCTGATGCTAACAGAGCTATGCTAGCGGCTTCTTGTTGACAGATCTTCTCCAATATGCAGCTTTGCAGCATGTCTTTGAACAGAGACTTTATATAACAGCAGTATGTGTTCACAGAGGTGACTTTATATAACAGCAGTATGTGTTCACGGAGCTGACTTTATATAACAGCAGTATGTGTTCACAGAGGTGACTTTATATAACAGTAGTATGTGTTCACAGAGGGGACTTTATATAACAGTAGTATGTGTTCACAGAGGTGACTTTATATAACAGCAGTATGTGTTCACAGAGGTGACTTTATATAACAGCAGTATGTGTTCACAGAGGTGACTTTATATAACAGTAGTATGTGTTCACAGAGGTAACTTTATATAACAGTAGTATGTGTTCACGGAGCTGACTTTATATAACAGCAGTATGTGTTCACGGAGCTGACTTTATATAACAGCAGTATGTGTTCACAGAGGGGACTTTATATAACAGTAGTATGTGTTCACAGAGGGGACTTTATATAACAGCAGTCTGTGTTCACGGAGGTGACTTTATATAACAGCAGTATGTGTTCACGGAGGTGACTTTATATAACAGCAGTATGTGTTCACGGAGGTGACTTTATATAACAGCAGTATGTGTTCACGGAGGTGACTTTATATAACAGCAGTATGTGTTCATGGAGGTGCGCCATACGTGTTTTCATATTATTAAACAGTATTTCCGCATCGGCGAACACACTCGAAGCAGTTGCATAAGGTCACGGGAGCATGACAACAGCATATTTTCACAAGCACAGAGTCTCCCATTGTCAACCCTGGTTTGAGTTCTGGTTAAGTCTGGTGTAGGTCCTGTTTTGGCTGTTTACAGTATTTTCAGTCTGCTCGCTCAGTCCGCTAATGTCCCTGTGACCACTTTGCTGCTCTCTGATTGGTTGTTGCACGAACGTCCCGAGGAAAGGATGAGCAGAATCCATCTCCTGTGGGCGTCGATTTTTCGCTCCTGCTCCTCCCTTTGACTTTCCCGCCAAGTCCGTGTGTCTCTACTGAACATGCGTGTGTGCCGAGAGGTCGGTGTGTTGCGACGGTCGAACACGCGTCACCATAGACTTTGCATTGAAACCCGACGCAACGCATGATCCAGTCTGAAAGCACCATAAAGCAGGGACTAAAGCAGTCTAATGCAAGTCCAAAGCAGGTCTAAAACAGGACAAACCCAGGACTCTGGCCCTAAAGTGTACAGTCTTCTCAAAAACTCCTTTATTGTAAACATACACTTTACTAAACCAGCCAGCACTTCTGATTGTTTGTTTTTATGCTGCAATATATGTTTATACTTGGAGGAATGAAACCTTTTTAATCACATCTCGGCTTGGCTCGGCTCGGCATCAAAAAGCTGGGGAGTTATTTTGGTGTCGGCGCAGGAGGAGGCGGGCCGTGCTGTGCGGCTGATTGCTTGGCTCAGGTCAGAGGAGCTGCTGGTGACAAACTGAGAGGATAATTCATCGGTGTGACCGCGGTGACATCCTCTGCCTCTGGCTTTTTATTTTCTCTGTTCTCCATACAATATATTCAGCTGTTTTTATTGCAGCCCGTGAATCTGCAAGCTAACGTAAACAAAAAGTGCTTATTCGCGTATGTGCTGGGTTTTGTTTCCTGTATGAGGCGTAAAAGCTTTCAGAATGAGTCGCTGAGCAGGGGCTTGTCTGAAATTACAATTTGACCAGTTGTGACAAATTTAGGCGAGGAATATTTATATACACTGCAAAAAATGATACAATATGGGATAGTAATTGCTTAAAATGGGTGGTTTTATCTGAGCACATTCTGACTAGCCCTGATTTTGTCTTTTTTCATGAACTATAGCTACATATATGTTCTCATTCCAAGGGAGACATTTCTTGTATCTTTTCAAAACAAGATCATTTTGCTTTTTCCCATTGGTGAATCTTTTGTAAGGCAGTCAGAATGTGCTTAAATTCAGACACATTTTTGCCAAATTTGAGTAATTTTTGCCCTTTTTTTTAACCATTTTTAAAATCCTTGGTGAATATTTG